CGGGAAAATGCGTCTACTAATGATTTTGTTTAGGCAAAAGCTCGCGAGCCGACCGACGAACAGAAAGAGGAGCGAATTCGGCTATTACGTCAGGCGGAGAACGATCTCCAACTCGAGGAGTCGAAACTGCTGATGTTGAAGCGTGTGATGAAGTCGACGACGGAACCAACAGGGCACAGGTGTTCTAGTTTTGCTTAAAAATATTTTTTTGTAGAATACGGCAAATCAGAAGGTGAAGTGTAACGACAAGGCCTACCAGCCGGTCAGCGCCAAGCCGACAAACCAGCCCCAAAATTTGTCCAACAAAGATAAAGGTATATCCTTTACTTCCTGCTGCTTTATTTTGATTTTTTTGCAGGCAACGCTAACGCTAAGAAGTCGGTGCTGAACCATGCATTATCTGGGGCACAGCTAGAAGAGGTAAGAATTCGGAATTTTTATCATATTCTTGTTTAGGTCTTGAAAAAGGCGCTCAAACTGGACCGGGCCCAGCTCCAGCAGCTGATCATGGCTGGAGGCCAGGATATTACGGCATTGCTGCAAAAGGTAAACTTATCCGAGAAAAGCTGATTACTTGATATTAGGCGGTACAAGCAGCCCAGCGACAGCAGCAGCAACAACAGCAACAACAGCAAATGCATCAACAGCAGCCGCAACAGCACCAGCAACAGTCCAGTAGTTCCAATGGGCCGTCAAGCTCATCGGCGGCTGCTGCTGCCTCGACTTCAGCTGCAGCCACGGCCAGCTCGTCAAACGCCTCCGCCATGCCTGTGAATCCGTTGACAGCTCAAACACCGCAGCAGCGTGCCGTCGCCGCCAGACAAGCATTTCGCCGTCAAGCTGATCAGCAGTTGTCTCAGGTTTGTTTTTGCCTGCCTGTTTTTGTTTGTTTTCTGCCCATTTAAGGAATGGAGTGTGTTTTCATCATGTTTTAGTGGTTTACATAGCAAAAAACAAATCATAAAAACATTTCCAGAACAACAAAAAGCCATGTTTGTTCATTTTGGCTTTTTCATAAATTTTCGGCCCTAAAGTAAAAAAGAACTGATAGCGTGAGGCCATTTTTTGTAAATTGTAAAGCCCATTTTTCAGGTGGCCATCCCTCCAAAAGCCCCACCTCACAACATCGACTTCATCCCCCAAGCAACCACCGCCGACTTTTGCCTGTTACTTGGGCTTGATCATGTCGTCCAGCGGTTACTCAAGGACAAGGTGGTCGAGAAGTAAGCCAACCCCATTCCTTCCTCATATCCGTTTAGCCCCGTTTCCGAGAAGCCGTACGAATGTGAGGAATGCAAGACTGATTTCACCACCGTCTGGCGGGCTATCGGCTCCAATGAAAATGTGAGTGATCCCATCCCTTCATGTACGAGCTTGTAGGATATGCACCTCTATTGTGACGCATGTGTGAAGAAGGCGCAGAAGCGAAAGCTGCGCGCCGACCACACCGCCAACATGAAGAAGATCTTCAACAAGTTCAACGCCCAGGAGAAGGACTTTGAGAAGCAGATCGCCGACGGCAAGCTGGAAGCTGCGCTGGCCGAGGCCGCTAAGGTAGTTTGGAGCCCTAAATTCTCGGGATAACTTTATGTTTTAGGCCCAGGCTGCTCAGCAAGCCGCTAGTCTGCCCAACCGGACAGCCACCCCTCAGCCGAAGCCCCAGCCGACGGTAAGGCTTTTTTTGATAGTTTATTTTACTAATTTACTAATAGTTTATTTTACTAATAGTTTATTTTATACCGAGGCTACTATTAGCACACGAGGGGATATATGATATATTTATTACAAATTTTTTAAATCTCATTTAGTTGCCAACCCCTCAAGCTCCACCAAAGCCCGCGGCCACGCAGAATACCACGCCCAGCTCGACGACATCGTCGCGTAACCGCAACAACCAATCGCAGCAGATGAACAATCAGTTTTCCAATATGGTGGGTTTTTTCAACAGCTTTTTTCTTAATACGAGCTTTAATCTTTAATTTAAAAATTTTATTGGTCTTTTGGATGTTTCCATGCCCTGAAGCGTCTGAAAACCCTATAAAAACGTTAGAATGTCGTCATTTTTTTTTTTGTATAAACTCATCGTAATTTCAGTCGCCGGCTCAACTCCAAATGTTTGCCAATATGGCGCGCGCGAATCCGATGGCCGCTGCAATCATGCAGACGGGGATGCAGAATCCACAGCTATTGGCCCAGATGATGCAGGTATGTCCCTATCTTCTCTGCACTTTCATTCGATTAGATGCAGTGGAATCCGATGATGATGGCCGCGGCTGCTACTCAACAGGTAACATTTTCTTACCGCTTTTCAAAAACCGCCCCCGATTTTGCAGTCAGGATATGCGGCTGCAGCTCTGCACCAGGTCCTTGAAAAGCCCCTGTTTTGCGCTTACCCATAGCCCCCATCCCCCGAATGCTCAGTTTATTTTTGGTTCCCTAAAAACTCACGCAACCCGGCGCGCCTCAATGGTGCCCTTTTCCTGTTTTTTTTTTGTTTATTCCTAGGTTTTGCATGCTCGACTTCTGGCACCCTTTCAGTTTTGAAAGTGTGGCGATGACCCTTTGGTTCTTTAGTATTTCCAAGGGGGAATAAGCCTTTTCGTTAGAATTCAGTTAATATAACCAAAAAAGGATTTCACGACATTTTTTGTAAATTTTAAAAATAAGTTTTTTATCAAATTTCGAAATTTTTAACCACTTTTCTAGCTTTCTAAAAATTTTTCCAATCGAAATAGACTAAATTTTATTAGAATGACTATATTCAAGTAAATTCTATGACGGAAATAGGAATATCTCGGAATTCTAGGAAAAATGCCCTCGTTCCCACCTTGAAACCCTAAAGAACCCAACAATTTCCCTGTCCTTACCTGCCTCTCCTAACCCTCTTATTTTCAGGCTCGCCTCGCTGCTGCCGCTCAATCCCAGCAAGCCAACACCAACAACATGACGGCCATGCTGCAAGCGGCCCTGCAGCAACAATCCGCTGCCGCTGCAAATACGGCCAGGTACTATTGCCAGAACGTGATTTGTTAACCGTGATGAGGGTTTCCAGCAGTGGGACGAGCAGCCAACATGCGGCCGCATTGGCTGCCCTTCAGGCGATGGCACAGAGCAACAATTCTGCCTCTACCTCGGCCACCAACAACCATCAGGCGGCGCAGCTAGCCCAATTACAAGCTGCCGGGCTGACGCCTGCCGTGATGATGTCTATGGGACCCGCGTTGTTTCAAAAGGTACATTATTTGTTCTGGTTTTCTAGAGAGCAAATTCTGGAAATTGAGACGTGTTGTTCGCCTAACTGGGGATTATTTTCAAAATTTCGACATTTAGAATGTCGCTATTTTTGCCATGATAAGTATTTTGCTCAGGTTTTCCTTCATGGCAAACTTCGACATTATGAAATTTTAACTTTAGGAAATTTCGATTTTATCATGTTGGACGATCTATAGTTTGCGTCTTTTCTTTTTATTCACATCGTCAATAGGCGATCACGTAGCGAATTTAAAACTCATCAAATTTAGTTTTCTGGGGGACATGAAATTTTCTTCCCATGGTTTTTTAGCGTTTTAGCAAAATTCAACAGTACAAAATTCAACAATTCAGCAGTTCAACAATTTGTTTTCAGCTCGCCCAGCTGAACGGGACGGCGAAGAAGAAATGAGCGAATGGCGATTCGCTGTGTCCAACGGGTGCCCCTATCAAGATGTGTGCATTCCCTTTCATCATTTCGCCTTCCGATTCTTCTCGACAATGCCAATTTTTTTCTGTTTTGCGTGTGTCCCTATTCTAAGGCCAAAACCCCTCCTCGACCCATCCATCTGCCTTCATCCTCATGCTTTTACTCACCGGTGCACGATATCTTTTGCGTATTATCTTGGCGCGTTTTCCGTCATTTTTCGAAAAACAACTTCCCCTCCTTTTGTGTTGGGCCTGGCGGTTTTTCCGATTGTCCAGGTCGAATGTCGTGTCTCCTTCTTTACAATGTCACTCATGTGATTCTCATTTGTTTTCTGCTGCCCAAGCCTACTCCTTCCTATGTGTTTGGATTGGCTGGAAATGCCATTCGAGACCTAGTCTATTTTGTGCAGAATTTTTCGCCGAGTCCGAAAGTGTTCTCGAAATCTGCGGAGGCCTCGAGCTAAACAATTATAGCGGTTGTTGGTATAAAGGGTCCAAAATTCCGGACTCTGAATCCTACGGTAGAAAAAGATGCTCTTCTAAGAAAATTGAAAGAGTTGATCGGAAATAACATTCCGCGCCTAAAAAGTATTAGATACCAATTTCGACAAAAACGCTGTAACTTTTGAAATAGAGCTCCTCCAGATTTGGGGATAGATTCGGATTCAGTGAAAAATTCTGCGCAAATTAGGTAAACTCACGAATGAAATTTCAGGCCTAGGTCAAAAAATATATTACCGTTAGTACTAGCTTCAACCTGGGTTTTCTGAAGCCGCTAAAAATAAAAATAAACCATCGCTGGCATCAGACTCGGATTGAAGCTCACCTCTTTCCAAAGTACCCTACAGAAATGGTTGTCGATACTTCGTTCTTTACCCTACTCCACCTACCCTATTCCCCTTACCTATCCCATCTGGTTGTCAAAGCGTACCCCGGGTTCCTCATAAACCACAAACTCTGGTTCTGCTCTCGATTTCTCCGGCAGAGAGTTGCAGCAGCACTGTATTGGCGCACTTGCAGCGCCCAAACATTCACTTCCGCACCCCCGTATGCAATTCTTAGAATAGTAAACACAAACGCCGGACCCTTTTCCCCACTCAATAATGAGCGTTGATCCTCCGAAATGTTTTACCCTGTTTTCTTGATGATTTGTTTCTTTTAAGATGACCCTGCATAAATATTGGGTGAACAGTACACGAGATTAGTGAAATACATCTGCTAACGACAGCGACACCACGTTTTTGAGAAAAAGGCGGAGCATGACTCACTTTATTTAGCAAAGTAATTTGTTTACGTATAAAATGAAATACGTAATTTAGTGTATGATCGCTAGATCATTTGGGCGTACGTTACTCGTGCTCAATTCACCGCCATCGACCTCGAAATTTGCGGTCGCCGCTTCATCATCAGCGCCACGTTCACACCATCTACTCGATGAATATAGAAAGCTAGTGAAAGAGGGCAAATTGAAGGACGATGCGCATCAGGTAACAAATTTACTTTTGTCTAAATTACCGCTGGAAACGCCTATTTTTTTATTCCGTTTCTAGGTGGAGATTGTTCGACATCTCGGTGATTTGAGCGCTAGAGTGGTGGAAAATGAAGCAGTCGCGCCACCGGTCGTCTCTAGTAATTGGTTCGCTAGTCTGCTAGGAAATTCGAGCAAAATTCCAGCCAGGGTAAGTTTTTCCTGTATTCCTTGATTTTATTTCATTACAGGAGTCACCGAAAGGATTATATTTATGGGGAGCCGTTGGCGGTGGGAAGACGATGCTTATGGATTTCTTCTATGAAGAGGTGGGTGATACTGCCTAATGAAAATCACTTTCTTAAGGTCCCCGTCGCCAGCAAGAAACGCGTCCATTTCAACGATTTTATGCAAGGCGTCCATAAACGTAAAAATTTTTGTTGAAGTAGAAGTTTTTTCTTTCTAGGCATGCATGCACTGAAATTGGCATATACCGGTGAACGCGGGAAATTCGATCCAGTGACGCAGGTTGTCGATGAAATTATTGCGGAAGGACGATTGCTGTGCTTTGATGAATTTCAGGTATCAAACACCTATCTATAATTAATTAATCGCTCGATTTTCAAGGTCACCGACATTGCCGACGCTATGATTTTGAAGCGATTGTTTACGTTACTTTTTGAACGAGGTTCATCGTCGCGGGTATCTAAATAAATTTTCTAGGCCTTATTATGATAGCCACTTCTAATCGCCCGCCGAAAGATCTTTACAAAAATGGGTTGCAGCGTCATCAATTTGTGCCCTTTATTGGGTTGTTAGAGGTAAACCGTTTCTCTAAAACTTCTAAAAACTACCGGCTACAGTCTCGTTGCGATACGATAGCGCTCCAATCTGGGACTGACTACCGTAAGATTGGTGGAAAAGGGACGCATAGGTAAGTTTTTAAAGCTCAAAATGTTTGTTTTCGACTTTAGGTATTTTGTGCTTGGTGATGGAGACGTCGATGCGCATATGAACAACATTTTCAAGGAGCTTTGTGCTCAAGAAACGGAAGGTAAGACTTTTCTAAATACCTTGATCTGTTTTTAGCCGTCGGTCCGCGCCCGCTGCGCGTTTTGGGCCGAGAGATCTATGTGGAAAAGGCGTGCGGCTTCGTGGCTGATATTCCTTTCGAACATGTGGGTTCTCGGATTTCTTCTCGAATAATTATTCCGTATTTTCAGCTGTGCGCTCGGCCACTCGGCGCAGGCGACTATCTGGTCCTCGGACAAGTGTTCAACACCATTCTTTTGAGGTACCGATAATTTTCTTTCTGAATTTTTAGTTTCTAGAAATGTGCCGGTTTTGACGCGACAACGAATCAGCGAGGCGCGACGCTTCATCACCCTGATCGACACGTTTTATGATCGACGGGTAAGAGGTCAGCAGGTTTTCGATAACTATTTTCAGGTGCGAGTGGTCGTCTCCGCCGCCGCCCCTCTCGATCAATTGTTTCAACTGGGCAGTGACCAAGCGATTGAATTGAGCGATTCGCAGAAGGTGCTGATGGATGATTTGGGGATCAAGGCTGGCATGGTAAGGCTCAATCGCTGTTTCATCAACCTGTTTAGGATGGGTCCTCGGCGAACGTGTTCTCCGGGGAGGAAGAGGTGTTTGCATGGGAGCGGACGGTCAGTCGTCTATACGAGATGCAAACGGACGCTTATTGGAATGCCCGCAGAACCGAGTGATTTTTCAAAATAGGCTATCAAATTTTTGCTAGATTTCTATTTGTGAATTTATATTAGTTACTTGTAGGTCTTGTTGCTTTTTATTTGTTTCTCTCGCTAGTCATTTTCACGGATTATTTGCTCTGCTCACGATACCATAGGTTATCATATGTAATTCGAACTTTTGGATTTAACAAATACAGGTTTCGACGCGTTATTTTGAAAACTTCATTCACGGAAGCGATGGACACCGGACAGAATGACAAAGTAATACAATGCCGGATGGAAACAACGTTACGGCACATCGGGACTGAGAGATCACTATAAATAAATCAACAAGAACTGGAGTCACAAATTGAAAACGTGTAATCGAAAAGGAATGCTCATTGGCTTTTCGCGTCGACAATTTTCTTGGTGGCAAGGTCCACGAGGTCTTGGCGCTTTTTGCCGGCACATATGGCGCTCAATTTCGCGAAGACGTAGGCGTTCTGAAAAAGAGAAAACTCTAGAAACCGCACGTTTCTTACCTCCTTACATTCCTTGTCTTCGGTACGGTCGCCAAGCGAGAGCAGATTTTGGGCAGCCTTCTCATATTCGTCATTCATGATATGGCGTCTCCAGCGCAAATCCTCGCAGCCCTCGATAAAGTGTTGCGCCTGTTCGCCATTCTCGCCAAGCAGCTCTTCGTTCATACCTAAAAAAAGGAAATTTCCAAAAGTATCTTCAACATACCATGAGTGCGGTAGTAGTTGCACAGGTAGATGTCAAAGTTGTCTGCCGTAAACTTGCTTTTCCAGCCATCAACCAGCTGCTTCCTCTGACGGTCCGTTTCGCAGGCTTGCGCGATTTTGATCAGGATTTTGAAGTCCTAGAGCACACATTGCGGTTAGCAAAAATAAATTACTTTGAAACGTTCGGCAAGATCTCGGGCCAATTCGCGCTCATCAACGTTGTAGAGGAGCAAGAGCGCTTCGTTTCCTTCGGGCTGGGTGATGGACTCGAAAAGCGAGAAGAACAAGAGGCGGCGCACCTAAAAATAGCGATGAACAAGTGGACAAGATGGAATACCTGATCAATGGCGCTCTTCCTCTGCAAGGATGTGATCGACACAGTTGAGTCTAGCTTCTTTAGCACTAAATGAGACTAGTTTAATTCCGGAGCCAACTACGCACCCATCATGACCATGCTCTGAATAGCTTCCGAAAGCCTTCCACCAGTCCATTTCTCAACGACTCGAGGGTCAGTGATGCTTGTCGACTTCCTAAAAAAATGTAGAAAGAAAAAAAGGAATTTTTCAGAGGGAACGTGTTTGTGGTGTTTTTTACGGTTCTGTTCTATTTCGCGGGGGGAAACTGTGCGGGGGGAAAATATGCTTTGCGGAATCTTCCATCTTTTCGCTATTTTCTCGGGTTTTTTGCAACGCCATTCGATAGAGGATTAAAAAATATACTAAGAGTTTTTGTTTTAGCGAAAAATATTGTAATATAAAAAAGTTATAGCAAAAACAAAAAAAACTATTGAAACTGGTTCCGGAATGTTAGTTTTCGGCATTTTCGCCATTTTTTCGATATTTTGAACCTGTCATTCTATAGAGCATCAAAAAATATACTAAGAGTTTTAATTTCATCTCAAAATATTGTTTTATAAAATAGTTATAGCAAAAACAAGGTTTATTGGGTGTTTCCACATGGGATCGTGGAGTCGAAAGCTAGTTTTCGACATTTTCGATAACTTTGAAAAATTTCTTTAATGCCATTCGATAGAGCGTCAAAAAATATACTAAGAGTTTTAATTACAACTCAAAATAGCATCATGTAAAAGAGTTATAACAAAACGAAGAAAATTCCCCCGCACAGTTTCCCGCGAAATAGAACAGTACCTTTTTTACTATCCTAAACGTCGAAATTTTACAAATGATCAAGAACTAGCAAATTAACATACCGTCGCTCCCGATCGATCGCATCACAGAAGTAGCAGAGAAGATCGCACGCAATCGAGAGCAACGACACTTGCTCCACGGGCTTCGTCGCCAGCCTGGAGGTCTCCAGCTGCTCCGCAACGAAGGCGACGGCCGCTGTGGGGAGTTGGTGGAAGGCAGTCAGCTAAAAATCAGGTTTTGAAAAATACTGATTTACTACTACTAAATGATTTGATAAACTGATATGATTCAATTAATAATTGCAAGTTTACCATGAAAAAAGGAGTCCACCTCATTCTTGCTCTTTTTTTAAGCTCAGGTAGATCTGATAATTCTACCTCAAGCCTCACAGGTTCCGAAAGCCTAAACAAACGACTGTCGAGTAGGCGAGTAAATTTTGACGCTTCGAATACCCACAAAAACTGTTTTAGAAGCAACGAATTTATGAAAAAGAACGTCTGCCAAAACACCTAGCAAACTTCAGATATTTAAAAAAAGCCATAAATCCTCATAAATCCATTACATTTCGGAAGAAGACATCGTACGCATTCCGTTCAGCCAGCTCATGTCTTTGGGCGTAGTGCTCGGCGGTGTATTGAACCATCTGTAATAGAAATAATGTGGGTTTCACACCTCTAGAACCCATACCAATCTGTGATCCTCATCAGCATCGATCCAATCCCAGAGAGCTAGAGCGGCAGCAGTCTTCTCGTAACACTCAGTTACCATTGCCGCACCGGAAGACCCACGCGATAACAGTAGCCCAAACGAGCCGCACTTTGTACGAACCAACTAAAATGAATTTTTACAAAAATTCTCTGGCTTACCGTATCCTCGGCATCAACTTTCTTTAAAAAGAAAACGATCCTCGAGGCGACGATGTGGCGGAAGGCAAGCTTCTGTGAAATCGAGCGCTCTTTGGATACGAAGAGCTCTAAAAATTAAATTTATTAAGCGAAAAGCCGGCTCTGCATTATCCGGGGAGGGGGACCAACGTTTCCCCAAGATCTAGTTTTTCTTATTCAGAAACGTGAAACTTTACAAAATTTTATCAAAAAATCCCGAAAATATGGCCAATTTTTTAAACAAAACTTCGACCGCTTAAAGGTTTTTAGATTTTTCTGGTTGAAATCTAGTTATTTTTTACTAAAAGCACTTGTAAAACACTTGCTAGTAAGTTACTAGCCATCTCTAAACTTATACAAAAAAACCCTCGGCTTCCCCTCCCCCGCCCCGATAATGCGAAAGAATCCAAAATTGTAGCTACCATCTTTTCCCATGAGCTCCTCGAAGAAACGATGAACGGCATCGCAAAGGTCGGCCTCCGTAAGCCGGGCCAATATGCGCTTTGCGTCTTTCTAAAAAAAAAGATTTTGAAAAAAACAGAAGTTGGCCTACAATCTTTGTAGCGCTGAACTCGACGAAGGCCTCGAGGAATGCCCTCAAACTTGGGTTGGCGAGCTTCATTTGCCCTGAAATTTCTGTTTAATGGATTGCCGAGGACAGTGATACCATGTTCGGCAAAGATCCGCTTAGCCGACTCTTGTGCGCTTCCAAACAACTTGTCGGTCGGTGGGAATTGGTCGGCGAAACCCCTGAAAAAATATCTATTTAAAGAGTGGCGCAAACCGAGGCAACAACCGCACCGCGCAGATGCCCTTCTTTGCCAGGAGGGCGTAGGTAAATTTTTCGTCGCTTCCTGAAAAAAAAAATATAATAATTGGTACTGCCTCTTAGCAGGTGGAGCATTTGGCCTAGAAAACCTAAAACCTGTTCGTTTTGTCGGGAATTTAGTTATATATTACTAAAAAGTTATAAACGCATCTTAAAACAAGATAGAAAATTGAAATTTTTCGAAAATTTTGTTGATTTTTATGGATTCAACCGAAAAATCTAAAGAAAGTTTATCAAAAATTAGCAGAATTTTCGAACAATTTTTGATCCAAGTTAAAATTTTGTAAATTTTTTGAACTTTTATTAGTGAAAAAAAAACTAAAATGTAAGGATAAATCATACCTTGCCCGACCAAGCGATCAGCATTAGGAAAGAAAACAGCCCTGTTGACGGGCAGACCATGCCAGCTGTAATCGGCGGGGGGTTGGACAATCTAAGACAATACATAATTAAATACCAACTCCACGAACCTGAGCAAAAGTTTTGTGCATGATGACGATGCCTTCGGAAGCTTGATTGTCACCCGGGACGTGAATCGACAGCCTGTCGATGTACGACGTCTCAATGTTTGCCTAAAAAGAAGTGATAACCGGAAGTAACAGTCTAACCGAGAATAGCTGCAGATTGGCCAGTGGACAGCACGCGAACCAGGTTGGCTGTAAATGGAGCTCTTCCACCGACTTGTAGTACACTAAATAAAAGAATCTATTTAGTTTTTAGGGAGATCGTTACCCAAAGCGAAAGACGGCGCCTTCGACATACTGTGTACAGCACAAATGAGAAGCATCAATCCGCCCTTGTACGCCGTGACGTCCAGCAAGAAGTATCGCAAGTTTGTGGGTGGGGCAGGACTTCGTGACTAAAATCAGGGGCATTAGTATATCCAAGGGAGATCGAATCTTTTTCTATATCTCCAAAGATTCCTAGTATTTTATAGCAACTATTTGAATAAGGCTTTTAGTAAACTTTCGCCAGATTTCAAGTGAAAAAGATAGATACCCTAATTAGAATTTTTTAGAAAGTCGAAATTTCGGTTAACAAAAAAAATCGATATTTTTAGTATTTTAAAGCAAAAATTTGTAGTTTTAGGGTTAATAGCGCGTTTAATAAAATTTAGCCAAATTTCCAGTGAAAAAAAGAACTTAGAAGACTCAGAAGTTTAGAAGCGGTAAAAAATTCAGATTTACGAAATATTGATAAAACAAAATTTGTAGTTTTTAAGGTTCGGTATGGTAAAAAAACTTAGAAACTTTTTTAAAGTGATATTAGATACCCGAAAGTAATCCCCAAACGGCAGATCGAGAAGCTCTTCGGCCGCGATGCTGAACAGGGGTTGAACTGACGATTCGTCGAACACGGTGATATGACCCGGACCCAGAACGACCAGGACTGAATCTTCCGACTCCGCGTTCTTGGGGACGGAAATGCAGCACAAAGCCCTCTTACTGAAAGTTTTCCAATTTTGAATTTTCCGAGGTAAGCTTACTCTTTGATGTCGGAATTTCCGCGGAACATCGCAGTCAGTCGCACGCCAAAGCCCGAATTCTGAGTGTACGAAGCCACCAGTTTATACGAAAGTCGCCCGTTGTCACGTAGATAGTGGATTTCATAGACGGAGCCGACGCCGGTGAGGAGGAGAATACGCTCTAAAATACCGTTCGGGAATTACAGGCATACGACGCACCTTCACCCTGCACAATTGCCGTAAAAATGGCCCGTGTCGTTTCGTTGTTGAGATTCAGAAGGATGTCGTGGTGGCGCGACTGTAGCGTTGGCCAGTAGCGTAGTGTGCTGTTTGAAGAGACGGCCATGACGCACATTGTAGAGGCATCTTCAAAGTTAAATAAAAAAGATTACGGGCTGTGCGTTGGTTTTCCAGCCAACTTTTTAGCAGCTTTTGTACCCTAAAACGTCGTTAAAAAGCCTCGAAAATTACAAACCAAGGAAGGAATGGTTTCGAAATTTATAATAATGCTTATGAACTTTCTATAATTCAAAAACGCCTAAAAAGCTATGTAAACGGTGTTTATTCGTTTATTAGGAGAGCTTTGGGCCAAAATTAAGCAACCCCCTTACAGTCCAGAACCTCACCACGTCTATGAATCAGAATATCCTGCGCCGTGTATGGCCGCCCATTCGGCAGCAGATTGAAGGTGTGGTATTGCGGCTTCTCGTCCTGAAAAATCCTCATTTAGCACAAGAAAGAAATGTATACCTTTAGGTTCCATAAATGCAATTTGTTCTGCGCAACCACCCAGCACCATCCCTCGCGTCCGGCAGCGCCGAGTTGCAGCCCATCATCTTCTCGGTCCAGCAAATCTAAACCGAGAAATTAGCGCTCAAATTTGTGAACGTACTTGCTAGGAGAAATTCTTGGAAAAGCGCGGGGTACTCGCTGCGCACCGGGTCTAAACAGGCCTCCAACTCGTTGGACATTTGAGCAGCCTGAAATGTATATAAGTATTTGGATTTCCACGAGTTTTCCTGAAGTAAGAGGGCAAAAGAAGTAAAAAATCCCGGACTCCCGAAAGCCTTTGAAGCTTTGATGTACGAATCAGATTTTTTTCTTCGCCGTGTGCTATCCGCAGACGTAATAAGGTTTCCAGCATGATAATTATATTTATTTCCTAGGAAAGAAGCTTTACCTTCGCTCCTTAAAAATTTTAGAAACAATATGTAACGATTTTGGTTCAGCTAGCACTTCTACAGCCGTCTTCTCCGCTCACATCAACAATACATCGAAAATTCAAGCAGAAAAAAAATATTTGCAACGCAACAGTTTTTATAAACTTTTGATAAAAGGGCTCGAAACTGCAAGAAAAACTAAAAATCGTCTGCGCGGGACGATGACACCATGAAAATACGAAAACGAAGGGCACCTCTGGACACATTCGGAAAGCCGGGATCAGCCAAAAACATTTCTAAAATTCATTGAAAATCCGTCTAAATAAGACAAAGCACGAAAAAGATGGCACGTAAACGCAAGTCGAAGGATACCCCGAAGAAAGCAGCTCCGAAAAAGGCTCGGCTGGAGGGTGATGGGTGCGTTTTTAAAGGTTTATTGAAGTTGGTATATTGGATTTTAGTGATTCTTCCAAGGACGATGGCGCAGGGAATGAGGAAATGTCGATCGAGCCCCTGGAAAATGCGTAATTTGATTGAATTAGTCGGGAACTCTTATTAGTGCGGCGAAGGAGGCGGTTGGCGCTGGAAATACGGGGGAGGCTGATTCGGAAATAGCGGAATCCGAAGCGCAATCGAGGTAAATTGCAATGCTCTTGATTAAAGGGCTGCCGACGGCATGTGTCGATCCCCCCCATCAACAAATTGGCAAGTAGCCAACAGGGCAGAGAGCGCGCCCAGGGGAGAGGCGCAGCACAGCGGCCCGGCTCCTAATAAAACGTCCGGTAGCTTTGGAAAGGAGGGAAGACCGCAACGCGTGCGATAGACGCGTCGCGCAATTGCGAAAGCAGGCCTGCGCAGCTAAAAACCGGTTGCTATTCCGCGCACCCGCACGCAACGCGCGAAAAACACGCACAGTACGCCCATTCCCTTGAACCATCTGGACCGAACCCCTGGGCGGTTGTGGCAGAGACATTTTCTTTCCAGCGCGTAACCGATTGACGTATGCCGCCCCTATCCCTTTAAGGAAGATGTCAAAGACCTTTGTTTTTAGTGGATCGCAACGACTTGATGGAGATGTCGCAAAGGAGAAGAAGTCCGAAACTTTAGATGTTGCTCAGTCTAGGTGGTTTTATTCACTTTTCAGAAAAGTACTAATTTTAGCTCCCAAGTGAAGCCCCCGACGATTTATGACTTCATCCACCAGCAAAAAAGGCAGGGCTATATTTATAGTTTTAATTTTTTATTTTAGAACATCGGACCCGCCATCTAGACCAGTCAGTCCAGAACCCGGCTGTTCGAAGACCGCTATTACTCACAAAAACATGAAGTATTATAGTTCTGTTAAATTTTAAAAAGTCTTTACAGACCTGCACGTGGCAGAAAGAAGGGTCCGACGGTGCAGATCCCAATGTTTGTATCTTATTTTGCAAAATTAAATTGGATTTAGGGAAGCGAAAGACTTCCCCAACATGACCATCAGTGATTACCTGAAAATTGCCAGAAGAGTACAAGATCCGAAGCAGCTGGACCGGCCACAGTTTGTTAGATTGACCTTTAATTATTTGCATTTTAGAGCTCTCCGGGATATGGTTGACGACGCTTTGGCCAAAAGTAAAGAACAAGCGGCTACTGATCAAGGTTCCGGCGACAAACCGGTGAGATTTTATCTTTTTTTTTTTACTTTTCTTTAAACACGGATATTAACTTCTGGTTCTATCGCATTATCAGGCGGGCAAAAATTTGGTAATAACTTAATAGAGAGTATAATAATGTTTTTAGTAAAACAAAATACATTTCAACTAGAAAAAACTTTCAAAATGTCAAAATTTCGTTCAAAAAACGATTTCCGATTTCCCTATTTTTTAACCGATTTTTTCAGGATTCGGAGGATGGTGAGGAGCTTGAACTGAGCTTTCAGCCCTACGGCGATCTTTCTGGTGAGAGTTTTTTATGACTGAGTTAATTCCAGAAATGACAAGATTTAAAATTCGAATCGATGTCTCATTGTGGAACCTCAGAAATCTTAGATTTTCGTTTATATAGATGTAGTTTTATTCTATGACTATTATTATATAATTTTAGACATAACCACTGATGAGGACGACAGTGAAGCCTGGCGCCCACCGACTGTCAATCGAGGACCAAGGAAAAATAACGGAAATCAAGAAATTGAAGAAGCTTACCCCGAATCAGGCGACATTCCATATACAATGTTACGTGTGGCCGCCCAAGAACTCCCGATTTTGCCTTTTGTAAGAAGCCCTTATACTTACCTATATTTCTGCGTCTCCAGGCCCGTGAGCACGACATCGACCTCGATTTGGACAAGTGGTCAAACGAGGAGCTGGAAGCGTTGCTGGGAGGAGTGAAAGCGTGGGTTTTACACGTTAAATTATAAATATTTGCTGGTTCGTTAGCGGAGGGGAATAGCTCATTTTATTGAGCTTAATCGCGGTAGTAATAAAACCGAAACCTAAACCTGTAGTATTTTAGTATTTCCGATTTGAAAAAATGACTAAAAACCGTTTTGATGCAATTTTTTGATATTTTTCGAAAGGTTTAGTAATTTTTTAAATTTTTTGGCGTCTAAAAATGGTGTAAATAGCTATCAAAATGTTGTCTATTTCATCAGTAGGCAAATAGGACCTTAAGAGGACATCGAAAAGCCCCCGCCCACTAAAGCACCCAAACCAATATTTTTTAGTTATGGCGCCGACGAGCTGGCCAGCCGTTCGATCCCGACGCGCTTTGTGCGTGGCAGGGATGACAAAGAAGTTTTGTACGTCTTTTTTGTATTATTTAAACCCCATTTTTTAGTGCCAAAATTAATGAAATACGCAAGCTGTACGTGATGGCCACCGAAAAACGGGAGAAAATTGAGGAGGAGAATTGGCAAATGATGCCGAAGGGCCGCGTGAGTTTTGGACTTCAATAATAAATTTCTATTTAAGCGCGGCTATGACTGGCGCGGATTCTTGAGCCGCATGATGAAGATGAACATCTCGACCAAAAACTTCGAGAAGGACAACTTTTGCGATAAGACCCTGGAGGAGATTTTGCAAGAGACGGCCGGCCGGGTTGATGATGAGCCGAAGGTGTACAAGGCGACCGACCACCCCGAGAAGCTCGGCCCTCATAGCATACACAACGGGGTTCGCAATTATTCAAAATAGCCAAAAATTAATATTTCTTTTAGACAATTTCATGGCGAAAGCTGTACCAATATGTGGCGAACAGCGCGGCAACGGTCGGCAGCGAGGAGACGGGCATCACTTTTGGAGATCCGTTGAATCCACTAGGTCCGGTTTATTTAGTTTTAATAGGTTTAGATAGTGTTCAAAATGGGCATAATATAAAGAGGATGATGCTGCTATTTCATTTAGTGTTAAAATTTGCCATAGACGTTTAAAACTCGAGATAAATCAGCTGAAATTGGGTGAAAATGCCAAAATTTAAATAAGATTTGAATACTTCTTCCTTATGGTCATATTAGGAAATATTGTTAAAGCATTTCACTTTTTTTAAATACAAACCTTCTGAAAATAAATTTTAACCGTGGAAAACGGGCCAATAAACGTTTAAAAAAAGCAAAATTTTATTTTACCCGTTGATTTACTAGCATAATACTTTGCAGCTTAAAACTCCATTAATTTCTCAGCTTAAATCAATTAATTTACGTATTTTCAGAAGCGTCTGTATTCCTGCACGTGGTTGATGGGATGAGGGATGCCGCCGTGAATATGAGCCCCGAACAGGCGATGCACATGAATGGAATCTTTGATTGTATGATCCAGGATGATTATAGGCTCGTTAATTAGCTTTTAAATGGACTTTTGGTTCAAGGCGCTTCTTCCCCTGCTCAAAGCCGCCCACGCTGGAGACTGTTCAACATTTGGTAAGTTTGAAAAAACGGTTATTTATCAATATCGTGGGGTTGCCTTAGGAAATTTTCTATTTATTTTTTAATAGAAAAGAACAGAGGAGGTGAATTTGCATTGTTTTTGCTATTCCTGGACGTAAAAATCAACAATTTGCATTCTGAAATGCAAAATTTTTGATTTCTTGGTAAAATTGCAAATTTTTAAACGCTTATGGGTTTTCTGAAAAGTTTTGTACCTGAAATATAGCTGGTTTGATAAACAAGACTGTTAAAATCGGAAAAAATCCCCCTCCCCGGTATTGCAAAAGCACCAAAAATCCTAAAATTCTTTCCTTTTTAGCTGGTCGACCCGTTGAATTTGGACAAGATTGGGCAAGGATCGCGAAAAGACGACGAACAACAAGCGAATGGCAACTCTTCGGATAGGACCGGCTCGGCGGAGGCTGAACTTGACGATGATGAGGAGCTGGAAGAAGCGGCCGGCCAACTCGAGCAAGCCCTTTTTACGATGCCCTCCGGCACCGTCAAATCCGAGGTCATGTCCGAACAACGATCGTCACAATGAATTAGTTTTTGCTCCTTGGAGGTACTGGTCTATTAGCGGGGGGAATTGACTTTGGTCTACCACTAGGTGGGTCCCATTTTTTGAATATAGAAATTTTATATAGCTTTTGGCACCGTTTTAGGCATAGAAAGTATGAAAATTATTAGAAAGCTAAACATTTTAATTTATCCTCAAAAATGTACTAAATTTGGCAAAATTTCGATTTAAGAAAAAATTCTAAGAATATTTTTATGCTTCTTTAGTAATCAAAAACTCTTAAAAAAAACACTAAAAGCTAGTAAAATTTGCGACGAATAGATTGACCCCCCGCTAATCGACCGGTACCTTTTTGTTTATAAAGCGCAGTTTCTCTTGTCATGTTCCGCT